GTGAACTGAAAGCAAAGCACCATATAAGGACATTCAAACTGAAACTAAGTGTTTACTAAATGGATTTTATGCGTGGCTGAATTAAAACCAGCTGAGCAACAGAAAAAAACAGATCTTACATTCAAATACAAGGTCAACATATTGACAGTTAGTGTAACTGAGCTGAAGAGAGACAGGAAGTGTTGGGAGGAGAGAGATGGGGATGACATGCAGCAAAGGGTCGAGGTCGGATTCAAACCCACAGTTCCTGCAGGACTACAGCCTCTGTACATGGGGAGCACGACATAACCGCTAGGCTATCCTACGCCCTCACCAGTGATTTCTCGGCTGCAAAAATGTAATATTTTGATGCACAAACAGAGGTTGTTCCACACTGCAGATTTACAGGTGGACAAAGAAGGGAGCTAAGTCAAAAGCAAACTTCCATATAAAAGAGATGAAGGTTATCAAAAAGAGGTTAATGACACAATAACTAAAAACAACCTTAAACTCAAGGGGAATACATTTAAAAGATAAAACCTGGAAGCTTCACAGCAAGCCGCCATCCAGCACCCTACGAGAGACTGAAACGTACCATCTGCTCAGGTTAGCATGGGGCGAGGCGGGCTGAACTTTTCATGAATACACAATCACAAACAAAACAGGAATTTCACTGATAGAAATATACATTATTAGTCCAGCAGATGGTAATCAAAACAGCACCTGTGTAGTCCCTCACTGCCCTGAAGATGTTTTTACTCTTTGTGCAGATCAGCTACATTAACATCTCAGAGAGCTGAGACCCTCTGCTCTAATTCAAGCTTCAATACTGTTCATTTCTTATATGAACAGTATTGAATACTTATAAATACACCGACTAAAACACTCGTTTTATGTGTCAATGGTTTTGGTTGTTTGTTTATGTGGTTTAGCCATATGTCTAACATTTAAAAGCCTAGAAGATATTACCTTCCAAATGAAGCCACATACATACTTTAAGAACTTCTCTTACGAGGTTTTTTTGGGTTTGTCAAACAGGTGAAAATTACCCACCAAAAAAAGTGTGAATTTCAAAAGGTCAACATATTAACTGAAACATTGGACTCAAATAATAATCTCAAAGAAAATACCTGCTAAGGTTGGCTAACAGATCCTGTGGAAAAGATTTTAAATCAACTCTTTAACAAGTTGGAATGTAAATACAGTAAAAATGGTGGTGTGGTTGTGGTTTTCATCTGTTAAAGTATGAGCTCTTGACCTTAAAAGAGGTTCATCCTGCATGTTGAGATCAGTTTTATTCAATTCAACGGAAAGTTTAATATCTATTAAAACTGCAGTTGTAAAGTTTTAATCACTGTAATTAGAGTAGTTCCTATAGAATCACCACAGGTTTTTCTTCCTTATCGTTCTTTCCTAAACTTTCTCAAACTCTGAAAGTTACCTGTCACCTATTTGTCAGACCGGTCCTGTGTTTCCACTCTCTCACCTGTCAGACACAGTTAGATCAATGTCTCACCTTGTCACAGTATAGTTTACCCCCTCAGTCACTGACAGAAAGCATCAGATCTGAGTCTCACTCACTCGCTCTGCTCATATACCGTCCTGCAAAGAGAAACATTGTATTGACAGAGCCATGCCAAAATAGATGGCTTTCTTCTTACTCATTATCATAAAATGGCTTGGAGGCACTTCCAACACAAAGCAAGTTAGGAGGAATTAGTCATATGCTCATAAAACAGGCTTGAATGCCGTTCAGCACGCCATCTCCCTTTGTGTGGCATTACAGTGTGTAATCAAGCGCCGCACTTTCCAGGGCAATCACGTCCTTTATCGCAGAGGAACTGTCGCCAACCACCTACGGAGTGGGAGGATAAGCCCTGTGGGTGATAGAGTGTGGTGGGTGCCTGATTGGGTACGGTGAGGGAGAAGTTTAAGCTCACGTCTCGTGTCACAGCCTCCTCCCACCCCACAAAAAAAACTTTCAACCAACAAGTCAAAGATGAAGACGGCAGCCACCCAACAGGAGAAATGAGACGTTTTCACGCCTCTCGCTTTTGATTTACTTATTTTGTTTGTCGCTTTCTCGAGCGCTCAAGCCTCTGGGCTAATGGGTGTTAACTGATTGACTGAATCACACACTTATATGAGCACAAGATTTCAAACTCTCCGTCTGGTTTGTGTTTTTCTTCATCTAACGCTCTAATTCTGTGTGTAAGAGAGGGAAGGCAGAGATCCGCCTGAGGTAATTAGGGGTGACACGATGTTTATGTAACCTCCAAGCCTCACAAACCAGATGCAATTATGGGCTCCTGGTGCTGCTGACCCTGGCCCTGCAGCGCAGAGCGCTGAAAAAACTGCAAAATCTCCCAAGTCCCAGGGGTGAGGCTGGTTCTGCAGGGTGAAGGGGGGAGGGGGGGAGTCTGGAGTTAGGGAGCCAAGCAAGAGTTGAGTTCTTTTCACAGCTCCCTCGGACGGGAGCTCTCGCAGCCTAATCCAAAGTGACGGGCACTTCAGTGGAGAGGGCGCGGAGCCCCCCAATTTCCGCCACGACCCCACGGCAGGGGGAAGCAGAGAAGCCAAGGGTTGGGGTGGCAGACTTATTGTGGCCCAGTGAGAAAGAGCGGGGCAGGGGCCTCATTACAACGCTTAACTGCACTCACAGGCCCTCATTAACCCACAACACCAGTGACTCAAATCAAAACAGACAATAAAAAGAGGTCGCCGTTTGAATAAAGGCCTCCATTTTACTTTGACTTAAGAGTTGGAGCTTTGTAACCGGATGCTTTATGGAGCTTTTACACCAACAGATTTCTGTAAACACTGGCGTTTTGCTACAAAGGGTCAATTTACGTGCAGGAATCTCCTCTTTAAATGTGTTCATCCAAGTTATATGCCCTTGTATACCCTTTCTGTTTGACTGCTTCCGTGTAGGCATGCCGACATCTGGGAATTCCAGAGGAAAGTAATGAGAGAGTGAGAGTGTAGTTAAACAAAACCCAATATGTCCGCTGTAATAAAAAGCACTGTGTTACTGTGCTGTAGGAAGCTCAGTCACAGAAGACTGCCCTCAGTGCAGGGGGATAGATGATGAGGGATGACAGGCACTTATGTATGTTGCTAATGGGATGCAAAGCCAGTGCAAAGATAAAGCCCGCCCTGTACTCCCGCTGCTTGTCGGTGCTCGGGGGAGAAAAGCTTCGCACGCCAAATGATGCGTTTCATAGAGACAATTAAAGAGCAAATCAATGCTGCTGCCTCTGTGAAATAATTAGAGATGCTGCCGACTTCGACTACAGCCACATAGGGGGAAACATGCACCGCTCCTATACTTACAGGAGGTAGATTTCTCAAAGAGCCTATGGATCAAAAACGTCAACCAAGCACCTGTTTTTCTATAGACCTCAGGTAATATTGGAATCCTGGCTTCTTTGAGGTCTAAGAAGTAGCTCATACATAATGCACTTCACTAAAAGGACAACAGTGTTTAAAGATTGGTTCATGAAAACTAAAATATCAACAGAGTTTTAAAAAAAAAGAGAATCTGTTGTGATTCTTGGGGTTTATTCAGTCTCAACTTCCATCTAGCAAATTAAAATAAGAAACTGAGAGAATATAGAGTTTGCCATTGATAAAGTCTCAACCTTACACTTTATGGGACAATTTCATTGGAAAAAAGCATTTCCAAATGAATGTTATGTGTCACATTAATGACATCTTTAAGCAGACATGCAAGAAGTAACATAATGTAGCTCAAGCAGGTTTGTTATAGAGGTAAAACACTGACTATATAATAAATATCCAAGCTTACACACACCCAATTTAGACTCAATATCAGGAGAGTTTACAGACACTTAAAGATAGTGTCAGTAGCTTTTTCCTTAAAAAATTAAACAATAATTGACTTTTACAAAAGTAATGCCACTCAATCATCACTTATGGGCCTCCATAAGTTCTTCCTGTATTATGTTCTTTTGGTCGACTCAGGATGTTTCAGAGTGGAGAGGGGATGTGTCTCCCCCAGCCAATGAGGTGAGTTTAGGAGTGGATTCAATTCAGCGATTGGATGCAATTCAAACAGACCAACTTTGCGGATGCGAACCTAGCGGCAAAGAAGAAAGAATTTAAGCAAAGTGAGGCGAAACGGCACAGCTCTTCCTGGAAACGAGGGTGAACCTTGGGTTGGCTTTCACCCGCGGACTCAGAGTTTGTCTCCTTTTTGTTTGACTGACAGGTTCCGAACATGGCGGTTAGCTTGTGCTAGTTTGCTCAATTATTGGCTTTTCCATGACAACAATTGTAACATTCTCAGTAGTTTGCAGTGTAGGTCCAAGCAGTACATGTACATGCTAACACTGCATTGGGTGTGCGCTTCTGGTGGCGATGAGCCCAAGAGGAGGGTCCCAGTTTGAATGTTGTATTTACAAGCTGCAATAAACATTGACTTCTGACTTTACCTTTAAAGCTCCTGTGAGGAAATTTCAGTTTGTGTTGATTTTGGCGCTCTCTGTGGACAATGTGGTACCTCCTATCTCTGCAGATTTTAGCGTTAAATAGGAAAATCTGAGATTGGAAACATTTGGTTTGACCTATTAGATGCTTAGTGTGTTCATAATGTCATTTTCCACATAGTAGAATGTGGATTTAGGTTTCCAAATAAAATCAGTGAGCAGTGCAGGAGAGCTAGCTCTGACTGCACTCACAGTCTGAGAGACATGATGATGAGGTCACAGAGTAAAGACCAGCAGGCCATCACATTCTGTCTGTCACATCATCAACAGCACTCTCCTTTCCATTTCAGAGCTCTTCATCTGCATACATCACCATGCAGGAGAGGGACGCAGCTTACTTAGTGCAGGTTTCTGCTCGGTGCATGATGTGCTTGTTGTAGAAGAGTGTGATGAAGAGGTACAGTACAGCCAGAGGAGCGATACAGAAATAGATGTGGAAAGAGACGGAGGGAACAGAAGAGGAAACCACATGGGGAATATTAAGTGTAGAAAAAGACAGATGGGCCCACTTACCAGCCTGGTTAGTGGTAATGTTGACTGAGGAGTACTGAGGGGAGTACGGGCTCTGATCTGACACCCCGTTGACAGCCTGCACCTCGAACGTGTACTGCGTGTGGGCCAGCAGGTCGCTGATGTAGACCCGGTTTTCTGTCAAACCCAGCTGACGGGGCAGAAACTGAACGTTGTCCCCACAGCGCGTGCAGCCTCCACGACCTCCACCGCAGCTCTTACAGATGATGTTGAAGACCACGTCCTCCCGGCCGCCTGAATCCCGAGGAGGCATCCACTCCAGCATGACGGAGGTTTCATTCACGCTGGAGATGACGGTCTGAGGAGCTGATGGGACGGCTGGAAAACACAATAGATGATTTGAAGTTAAAGCTAGAGTGATAAAATCAAAACAGGATATTTATTTTGGGTAGAAAAATTCTGTTTTGTCAAGTTCTCTTAAGGGTCTTTATTTCAGATTAAAAAAACAAAGTAAAAAAGAATGAAAGAAAGAGAGAAATTGGGACGCTAGCCTAGCAGTTAAGTCGCACAGCCAATGTATGGAGGAGGGTACAGTCCTCATTGCAGCGGCCGTGGGTTTCGAATCCGACCTCAGCTCTTGATGCATTTCATTCAGCCAGCTTCTGCTCTTCCTCAGATCAATTGTTAAAATACGAGCCTATAGCTTGACACAGACTAAAACAATTAAGCAATAAACATTGATGAATATGTTCTCAGTAACTTAGTTGCAAATCAAGAAAATACAGAAAACATTATCTTGTGATTCTCTCCATTAAATGCTGATCTTTTTTTAAACACTGATTAATCGCTGAATTTCAATATTTTAATTGCATGTTTGTAAATTGTTTAAGGCTTTTATTTTGAATTTCTGTTCTGACTATAGCTCACCGTACTTTAACTCCCTTTTAGATACAAGCATGCTTTTATTTTGAAAGAAAAAGGAACCACCAGCAGACTGAAGGTTAAGACTTTAAGTAAAAATGAACTTTTTACAGATGGAAATGAGACAAAAGGCCAAAAGGAACATTAAAAAGGTGAAATGTTTGACGTCTCAAGGTGGATATTACTTTTGGCTTGTTCACTAAGCCGTGAGGTATCATTCTCTACTGTCACTGTGGCTACAGGGAGACACTGCGGTCAGTCGTATGGCAAAGCTACAGAGCGCCTACAGGAACTAAATAGCACGCGTTTAATACAATGAATGCATTTAATTCTGACCTCAGTAGCATCACGTTTAATGCGTTAAAGCTGACAGCCCTAGTTGTGATTCACGTCATTTCTCAGTGTCCTTTTAGCTCTGTTTTGTCTTAACTCCAGAGGGGAAATATACGACTCCTTTAGGCTTCTAAATGCTCCGTCATGTTCACATGTTGCCAACTGTGTCTGTCTGCCATCTGGTTCTGAGCAGGTACCGTACAGTCGGTTTATCAGAGCTTTTTTTTTTCCTTTCTTTTTTTTTTTTTTTACTGAAAACAGCTGCCTGTTGCTGCTGGAAAAGAGGCTGAGGAGAGGCCAGAGAGTGAATGAAAACAGTAAAGATGTGGGCTACAATAAAAAAAAAAACCTCCCTCCCCAACACTGGGCAAGGAGACGCTCAGACACTCCAGGGGTCTAATTGGGATTACAGAGCGGTGGGATTGTTGTCTTTAGGTTTTCTACTAAATTTCAACCGCTTTCACGTTTAAAGTTTGTGTTCTCCATTGTTATTGTATAATCCCTAACTAAAGCTGCTTAAAGACATCCCATAACATGGAAAACTGAACAAACCATGTTAAAGAGTTTAAACTATTGTTTTCTGCACATTTCTTTGGAGGTATTATTCTGTAACTTCTGAGGGATTTCTTTGCTATAAAGATGTGAATAAAATCTCTGGAAGCTTACAGGAAAGAGGTACAAGAGAAGACTTTTATTTTGCTTCTTAATATTGGACGTTGTGTTGTGTTAACACGGAGGGCAGAATAACCACCTCTGCTTAAATAACCCCTTCACAGGAGAAGACAAACTCTCAGAGATACTTCATCGTCTTTAAGGTCGGAGCTGACTGTAAGCTGGCAGTTCTTTCCCCCCCTGAGATGCCCATTTACATCTCTCATTTTTCATGCTGCTGTCCACTTTGTCAAGTGTTTTCTTAACATCTCCTCCTGACGGTTTTCTCATGGAGCTTGCGCATAGGGTTACTGCAGCGGAGAGAAAGCGACTGTTTCCCCTGTCGAGACATTCTCAGCAGCTCGGCGTTTTTCGGGGGGTGGAAACTTTTCCACATGCCGCTGCGTGTTGAGTGACAGGCAACACAAACAAACAATGGGAAGTGTTTATCTTCTACAGACATGTGCACCTAATTATGGAAGACGAATCCTCCGGGACTAATGAGATAAACAATTCCACTCCGCCCACTACATCCTAAATCTGAATCGATCACTTCTTATTTAACCTCCTTTTAATTGGCGGCAATTAACAGATCTCCGGCTCTGGAAGGAAGCCCAATGGAGTGCACTTCTTGGTGTTTCTCATATATGGAAACATAACTCCTTCTTTGGCATCTCCTTCCCGGGGAGGAGGACTAATATCCCCCCCATTAGCTGGCGGGGCGGCTCTGATGGGCCCATTCCCTTGGCTTTAATCAGGCCGGGCCCTGCTGCGCTTAATGCGGGTGACGTGACGCTGCCGCTTTCTCATTCACAACAGCTGCTCGACTCCCAGAGCCAGGCTTATGCAAATCTCCTTTGTTGGAGGCCATCAAATCTCTTCCCTCCTCGCTCCCTTTCAACAGGCGGAGAGGGAAAGAGTGAGGGAAAAAACACTACCCAATGTTGAAAGGGCCTTTTTTTCTTCTCCGGCACCCCTGTTTTGTTTTAGATCGACCACACTCTCCGTCTTTCTCACATGCAGCAAACCCCTCTGAGCGCTCTCAAATTCCCTCTCCTTCTTCATTTTCTTTCGACGAGTCTCGCCCCTCGTGCTCAACCCCTCCCCGCTCTCTCACTTTGCTCAATCCTTTCCACTCTCTCTTCCTCAACCTCAGTGTCAGCATCAAATTCAAATTCAAATTCAAACAGCTTCATTGGCATGACAAGAGAGAGTGTCGCCCGGGCTCTTTCTCCGGGCTGGCCCTTTCACAAAGCGTCGCGCCCTGGCCCAGTAACCCCCCGGCCCTTTCCTGGAGTACGGGGACTGTGTGATGTAGAGGAGGGTCAGATCTGTGGACAGCCACACTATGAGCATGTCAGCGTCATGTTCGTGTGAGGGACGGCACTGACAGGGTTTCTCTGTTTGCAGTTACACAGACCACCACTGTCCTTTGAACCCGGGGCTCTTCTGCTCGCGGGTGTGAAATGTGCGTGTGTCAAAAGAGTTCATATTCGACATCAAAGGCTTTGTGGGTATGTGTAGTGTAAGTGTTTGTGCGGCGTGTCAAGTTAGGGTTCAAATCTAACCACTTCAGTACTATACATACTTGTGCAGGGCATCTGGAGAGGATCTGAGTCGGTGCGGTAGTATCCATTCCGGCAGACGCAGTTGATGGCGCCTTCGCTGGTGGTGCGACTGTTGATGGGACACTGTAAGCAGGCTTCATCTCCCTGTGTCGGTTTGAAAAAGCCCGAGGGACAGGCTGAAAGACAGAAGAGGAATACGTATGAGAATAAAGAACAAAACAAGTACAACCGCTGTTCTTCAAAAGCAACGCAAATGTAAATGACATTCCTGAGCATACTGTTTTTAAGCTCTTTCAAATATTTTTATTTTCTAAAATGTCACATTTTCCAGAGCCCAAGGTGACCTCTCTGAATGACCTGTTGTTAAGCCACAACTGAAAACCCAAAGATATTGAATCAATAAACATTTTAAACACGTTTTGTTCAACGTTCAACATTCTAACAATGAACCACAGACTGTATAAAACATGGATATACTGTAGTACCTATCTATTCTCCCAAGCATACCAATAGTTTTCTGTTTGTGTGTGTGTGTGTGTGTGTGTGTGTGTGTGTGTGTGTGTGTGTGTGTGTGTGTGCATACTGGTACATGTGATCTCTTGTGTGGCTATTGATGATGTGTTGTACTCTTTAACTCAGTAGAATGCCAAATGGAGCAGCAAGAAATGCAGCCAATCTCACAGATGACTGGAGTAGATCCTGAAGTATGTACTCATTCAAAAATAGACTTTGAATCATGAATCCACAATCGTTTTGAATCGAAAATAGATTCTGAATTGAACCATGACCCCAAGAATCGAAATTGAAATCGCTAGACACCCAAAGATTCCCAGCCCTGTTTACGTGCGTATTTACATACGCTTCAGATTATTCCGCTTATTCCGTATTTCAAACTTTGTTTCCCATATTTCCAGCTACAGCTCATTTGATGGTTGTTTTGTAACATCTTGCATCACATCAGACGGCGTCAAGTGACCAGAACTCAAAACAAACCCAGAAATCACACACAGCGACTCAAATATATAAATATACATCAGCACAACTGACTTATTAATACACACCAGTGGAGCCTCGCATGTGAGGCAACTCTCCGCACATATGGCAACATGGCAACATGGTGGAAGTTTGCTCTGAATTATTCACCGCGCTCTAGTTGACTGAGACATCTCTGAAGTGCCCTGCTTTCTGGTAAGAGCCCTTTTAGAGGCCTCTCTGTGGAAACCTGGGAGGAAAGTTGCTTTCTTGATCGAGGCGGTGATGGACCTGCACACTTCAGCTACCCATTCAGTTCTGTGTTTGTGTGGGAGAATCACAGGCTGTGTACGAGGTGAGTGTGTTTGTAGGTTGCCATAAGCGTCCGTGAGTGCAGCGATAAACAAACTAACTTAGCTGTGTGTGAAATCCCCTTCTCCTCTCTTGAGTCACATTCTGCCTAAACCTTCCCCGCTAAAGAAAATGTTTTTTTGGGGTTTTTTTTCAAACGTTTGCACCTGCACCATGTCAAGAGCTTTTTTTTTGTTTGTTTTCTATCTTGGGCCAAACCAGCAACGGTTTTGCTTCAGGTAATCCAACAGCTCCCACCTGCCCCTCAGATAAAGAAGGAAAACACTGAGGTGTGGAGGCAGCACAGTAACATGAAGAATTCACACATGGGATACGCCGCATGTCGAAAGTTTAAACCCCTCAGGCCTGTCAGTGCTGCAGTTTTGTGTAAAAGCAGAATAATTTATAGTGTCGGATGAAAGGAAACAAAGTCAAGAAGCCTCTACAAATAAAATCCTGTTGTTGTTGTTTTTTTAAACATGCATCTTTCAAAGAGATATTCTTTTAAATCCACTATGGAAACAGAATTATTATCTTGTTGCTCCCATATTTATCAAGCAATCAAGCAATCATGATTTGTATAGCGGCAATTCATAACCGCTGGCATTCCTGAGGTGCCGCTGAGGTGGAGGTCAGAGCAGGCTGTGCATGAATGAGGATGGCGGTGGTTGTGGGGACGACAGAGTCTGATGGTGATGGCTGGGCATCGGGTGGTGGGTTGATTAACAACACAGTCCGATGGTGGAGGCTGGGCGTAGGGTGGTGTTTGGGTTGACACAGTCCGATAGTTGAGGCTGGTTGTCGGGCAGTGGTTTGGGGACGACACAGACTGCTGATTTACTGTATTTGTGTTACTCATCATGGGGACAGTTCCCCCCCCAATTTTTTGGTGTGTTTCTAAAAGCTTACATTAACGTGGCTACAATTTTCTAGTAATAAAACTACGACCAGTATTTCATTCTGAGGCTACACTTGCAATTACAACTAAATTGTAGCATCTGGAATATGGAAACATCTGCAGCTGTAACTTCCATTTAAAGCAGTTCAAATCACAGGGCAGAATTAGTCCCTAGTCCAATCCCAATGTTTGTATTAGACGGACAAATCGCTGCACTCACAGACCCTATAGGCTGGAGGATTAATGTTCTTTTTTCCCCCTTCTTGTAACTCAAGAGAACATTACTCAGTCAGCACCATCGCCGTCTGAATATGGATGTTTTAGTGATTCAAAAATGGTGAAAGATGGAGAAGGGTTGTGGTAGAAGTTTGAAAAAACTTTCTTTCATAATAAATGAACCTTTATTCTTCACCTTACTACGCTGTGGATAGAAATCAACTGGCAGTTCATTTCATACGTGTTGATTTCTGCAGTTTTGTACGTTCATAGTGGTCCACCTTAGTGGTTCTTCAGCTCTTTTCTTAGCAATCATAAACCACCTTGTAATTATATTTTCAGCCAAGTACCCCCTGATCATCACAAACTTTTTTAGCTAGAAAATAAAAGCTTTAAGGAGGACATACAATACAGCGCTGCAGCATCAGTGTTTGTTTACCAGAAATAGGTGCACAGGTATTATGCAACAGTTTGCTATTTTCACCCCTGATGATGTTGTGACGATGATGATTATTTTATGATTGTATCATGCATGACCGATATGCCCAGCCCAAAACAGGCTTACAAGACACCATAATTAATACACAGACACCAAAGAACAAAAGTAGAGACTTAATAATAACAATACTAATGAAACGAACCATCCTGACGTTTCCTCCAGGCGTTGGAGACAAACGTGGCCAGCTTATTGACATTGGAATCAAACAACCTCTCCATCCTGTCATCATCTTTGCTCCAGAACATTTCAGGCTTTTGAGCCTGCAGTTCATTAATCAAAGGTGTTCTTAACTCATTGTAAAGAGGACATTTGTTGTTGTTGTTGTTGTTGTTGTTGTTGTTGTTGTTTTAAATCACATTAAAATCTGTTTTGTAATACCAATGATAATTTGTAGGCTCTGTTTTCTTACTTTTTGTTCTAATTTGCTGGATGGTTTCTATGTTTCAGAATCAGAATCAGAATCAGATTTATTGGCAAGGTATGCTTACGCACACAAGGAATTGAACTTCGGTGAGCTGTGCACTCATATGTACAGGTACAACATTAAATATCAACAATAAACATATTAAGAAAAGAATAATATTTACTTTTTTTTTTCTTTTTTTTTTGCAGTGACGGGTAAATTTGCTCGACTTGCCAGTCACGGTGGCAAGAAAATAAAAGTACCAAAACAGAGTGACTTTAAAATAACAAATTGATTATCTCGTCTCTCGAGGTTCATTTGTTCATTTCCAAATCACCTTAATGAGTTAGCCTTTGACTGCAATGGAAACTTTTACCAGCCTCTAAATATAATGAACTAAAAGCACAAACTTTTTCTCTGTTCATTAGCGAGACAAAGAGCATGTCAGTTTCCACAACAGAAAGGATTTATTTTTTTATTTTTTTATGTTATCTCAAAAAATGTCTCAAAGCAAACAAAAACAATCTCTCACACGATGAAGTTCATTGCAACATTTACAGACGTTTTATTGGAGTTAATTACATTGCAAATAGATATCTTAAAAATACTCATGGTTTATCAAGATTACATTCTGCTTCTCATTATAGTACTTTTATTTTAGTAATACATGAATGACTGATATTTTAGCCCAGGGGTTTGTTGCCCCCCCCTCTTGACAAACCCTCAGGCTGGATGTACAGACTGCCCAGGGCCAAGCGCAACAGATACAAACTTTTGTATCTTGCTCATGCAGTTAATGCACTTCATCTTCTTTAAACCACGACTGCACTTTTTTTATATTGCTACCATTCCAGTGACATTTTTTAGTTTTGTTGGTTGTATTCCATCAGGTTGTGTTGCACTGCCCTCTCTGTTTATCTGTTGTGTTTTATGTCCACTGCTGTAAATCAAGTTTCCCTTCCAGGGACAGTAAAGGTCTGAACTGAATGAGGTGAACTGAAACAACAGTCTATCTGTATATTACATCTATGGAGAGAGTTGTATTGTTTAATACATACAGTATGATGATCGGCTACACCATGTTTCTTAAGAGTGCTCATTATAAAACAGCTTCATTACTACAGTTTGTGTAAAACAAGAAGCTGTTTTCATTCACATCTTAACGTTCTCCTCTCTACTCTCCATGCATGAGCTTTGACATGTTTTTCTTCGTCTATGATTGATGGAGGAAAGGTTTTGGGCACAGAGCGAAACATGAGGCCTGGACATTCACGCTGCCAGTCAACAGCGTCTGTGAATGAGGCCCAGGCAACAGCTAGGAGGGGAATTGGGATCGAACCTCGGCGGCACCAGTCAGGTCTATATGTGAGAGCTGAGAAACACCAAAGGGAACTGCATAAAGAGGTGGTGAAGGAGGGGGGGGGGGGGGAGGAGAGAGAGGAGAAGTGCAAAGATGAGAACAAAGAGAGGAGAGGGAGAGGGGAGAGGAGGGGGGCGACTGTGTGCAGGAGTTTTATATGCAAAGGAATTCAGTGTGTTACTGTGCACACAGGGAATGTATGAGCTGCAACAGTGTGCACACTGTGCAGAACAATCAGAACAATGACTTTCAAATCTGCATGTGGAGGGAAATGAAAGAATACAACTGATTATGGCCTATAAAGCCCCATGAGGCCTTTCCAACACAGTTGCCATATTTACATAATCAGTCAAAGCTATTGGATGTTTGGATATTGGACGGTAAGACGATGTTTGCTTTGGTATTGAATTTCTCTATTTGGATCAAAATGTTGAATTAGTTAACTCTCATTTTGCTCGGTTTAGAAAATGCTCGACA